ATTCTAGTACGGGTTGATGACAGTTGACCAATGTAGGGGCCAGTGACAGTGGCTTTAAAGAGGGAGGAGGGGGCTTCAGCAAGACAATGCAGTGGTGTATTGGCAGGTCAAGGGTCCCGTTTGATCTAGGGAGGGGCCCCTTCCCGGTTCATCCCGTCAGCACAGACAGACTTATGGGAAATTGCCTGCATGTGATCCAGGAATAAAACAACAAAACAAAAGAAGGATTTCCTCACACTGCTGAGGATGGAAATAGGCAGATTTAGTGAAATAAATCTTAAAATAAATAAATCTATATATTAATTGTGCGTTTTGTGTTTGCAATAATCCTGTGAACTTCTTTTGGAAGTCAGCTCAGGGTTAGGGTTAGATCAGCGATTGACACTGTCAATGCTGCATGGCGCGTTATTTGATGTCAACGAAATTGCGCTCACTTCTCTGTACGCGGTGATGTCAGAAATGTTGAGGTCAAGTGTGTGCCAGCAGCAGCGACATTTGTATTAGTGCGCTGCACTGGATAATTACAGAACCCCAGAGAACTTGTGGGCGAAGTTAATGAGCCCCGCATGGGTGGGGGCACTGATTCCCAAGGTATTGTGAGGGCATCACAGCAGCAGGAAATCCCTTGTAAAAAGGTATATTGAACTGTTTGAGAAAGACGTGACATTTAAGCAGAATAATAGCCTGGGAACCTGTAAAATACTCTCTTTGAAACTTTACTGGAGTCCAGCTTTGTTAGTTACTCTCCACAGTTCATTCAAAACAAATGTGTATTGTCATCATTTCTGGCAAAAACATATCACAATGTGATCTCTGTTTTTACAGTTCGGGTAATATTTGATATTTGCTTAATAGAACCATGAAGTTCGTCTGCCACTCACATATGTTATTATTTATATCCTGCGTCATCCGTGTCATTGTCAATTTTATTCAAACAGAATCCACACAAGAATCACACAATATTAATGAAATTAATTTCTTTTTTTTGTGTTTATTAGTTGAATAAATCCACTTACGACACAAGTAATCTTAATAAATCTAGTGTACTACAAAGTAAACTGTGAAGGGAGCCTAGATTTTAAAAAAAAAGAAGCAGTAAGCATTTTATTCCTTTCATGGGCCTCACTAACTGTCTTCCTCCGTGAATGGGGTGAGAGGTCACGGCGTGTTCCTGTCCGGTACAGTCCCTCGCTGGTCAGGACAGCACCGCACGCTGGGCCACGTACCCGTTCAACTCTGAGCCTGTCGCTTCCCATCTATCCCCGCATGCAACGCCCCCCTTTGATTATCCAAGCACGGTCCAGCCCCTCTCCACTCCCTCCTGTAATGCCGCTGCTATGTGTGTGTGTGTGTGTGTGTGTGTGTGTGTGTGTGTCTGCCTGTCACATTGAGTTAGACCTTTAGTAACTCAGTGAACCCGGAGATGAAACAAACTACTGCCGGGGTAATCGGGCACGCTCTGCCATTGGACTTGCTGTCCACGTGGAGCTAGATTGCAGATCACTTTTTTCAACTTTGCTTTTTTTTGTGGAGTCAAAAGAAGTGCACACAATAATCAACATTTATCTGATCAATAAACACCAAACTTGTTTTTAATAACAGCAGATGTAGATTCAGATTTATTAAACTGCAAACATATGAAGAATAAAGAATTGAATTAGTGTACAGGTTTTTTTTTTACACGAAGCATACCTTTCTGTTCACCTCCTCCTCTCCTCTGACATCTTACAGTGCTCAGCCTCCTGCGGACGGGGCTTCAAGTCCCGTAAGGTGAGCTGTGTGACCGGGTCAGGCCGCCCGGTCCCCGAGGAGAACTGCCTGCACCTGTCCCCCAAACCCGGCAAGCAGAGGCGCTGCAGAGGAAGACGATGCCCCAAGTGGAAGACTGGCAACTGGGGAGAGGTGGGACCTTGCTATAAAACACTCCTCCACCAAGCTTGTTCTCACGCTGCCTCCTTTTCTTTTTTTCTCTCCCTAATTCCACTTTAATGCGTATCAGCTTGTCGGCAGATCTTTGCATACGTGTTAAACCATCTGCAGTCAAACCTGACTGCATTTATGAATCATGCCAGGCCACTAAGTAAGGCAGGGTGCTTTTACACATTTATCACACGGTGGGTTTATAGAGTGCTGCACAGGCCTGGGGCGTATACATACAGAGGTTTGAGGAGATGTAAACCTGCGACTGTGACACCACAGAAAAGTACGAAGGACAACATCTTTGAGCTGCGTAAATCAACCTCTCGTCTCTGTATTTCTCTTCCTCTGACCCTCACTTTTCTCTCCTCTCTGTCCCTTTTATCCTCCTTCTCCCCATTTCTCTTTTCCCCTTGACTGATCACTCTCTCTCTAAAGCCCTCTTTCAACCCTTCACTTTTTTTTCACTCTATCTTTTCCCAATGGAAACCACATGTTGGTCTTGTCTTTGAAAGCCCTGCAAAATGGCCACTTCACTAACGTCATCGTTGCCACTCACTCCTGCACCTGGGCGGCTGGATGCGCTGTGGCTTATCCCCCTTTTTTCTCTCCCTCCATTTGCTCTTCATTTCTGTTTTCTGTCCCTCTCTCTATTCTCATGTTCTGTCTCCCTGAATTCACCCCAAGAGTCTGAGCGCAGAGCCACATATGTGCTCCATACGTCAGAGAGGATGTGCGTCTGCTCTGAACAGCTGTGCAGCAGGACACGCCAAAATTATTCTCATGGCCAAGTGCAGCATGATTACCCATGGTGCAACATGCTGCCTATAGTGGTTCAGCAGCTTAGATGTCAGAACAGATAACATACAGTGAAATATGTTGCATTGTGTTGATTCCTGTTACACACTGATGTGTACGTGGATTCCTGTAGAAATCTCCTGCCATGGTGCCGTTGCCTGATCCCATCACTGATGATCATCTGGATGTGTTTATCATTTCCTCCTCAAACCTGAAAAAGCATGAGCTGTAACTGTGGTGGTGTGATGGAGGTCTTACTCATGGTCATGTACACACACAAACAGAGACAAATATTTTATCACCTTCATCGCATCACATCACCCCCCCCCACACACACACTTTACATCTGTATACAGTTTACTATACTGTTTATATTATGGCATTTGCTTGTCATGTGGATCTCCAGCAATCGTCAACAGCCCCTCTGTTAGAAAAGACCAAGAGAAAAGACAAATATAAAATACTTTTAATTAATGTGATTCTCAAATTTGATTGATGTTTTGGCTGAAAATGAGACATGCATGCATTGTTCATGTGATTATTACCGCCTGACTGAGCTGAACAGAACAGACTCCACATCCCTCTCTTTCATTCTTTGTGTTCTCTATAGAAACGTGTTCTGCATTACAGCAGGAAACACTTTCATTAAAAACACTGCTGCTGCAGCGAAGAGAAAACAGACTGACAAATCCACTTTCGAGGCTTCAAGTTTCACTTTTCCTTGAATGATATACTAATTATTTTATTTGATGATCAACTACATGAGTTAAATAAGAAAATGGAGGCTTGCAGTTACTTTAACATCCCATATGCCCTTATAACAAATGCTTAATTATTTAGAAAAAGTTGTGAAAAGCAAATTAAAGAAGCATTTACATGTATATATATATATATATATTTGAACATAAGCAAGATTTGGATATAAACGTGAGCATTAGCAAAGTTCAAGTAAAATGACACAAAATTAATCAGTAAATCAATCATGATAATAAATGTTAATAGAACTGAGCAAAACTCCTTAATTGAGTATATTCCTTTAACCAGACTAAGTGATCCAACACATAAAAATGAAAATACCACAGAGCTAATAAAGTAGAAATCACGTCACTTAAAGTTAACTATAATATCCTAATAAGAAGAAATAACCTTACTTAAAATGACTTGTAATACTTAAGTACTAAAGTAGAAAATAACGTTCCCATCGCCCATGAAGCGTGTTATGTATCGCAATGTTTAAATATAATGGAACTAAAAGTGTGACTTGTTTAAACGACTTTAATAATTGTATAAAAGCTCTGGTTTAAAAAGCTCTTACCTCTCGTCAGTGCTCTGTGTCCTGTGGAGACGGGCTCCAGCGTCGGGAGGTCGTCTGTCAGCTTGGAGACCGACGCAGTCCTCTGGAAAGCGGCTGCTCTCAGCGCTCCAGACCCACGTCCAGCCAGAGCTGCCGGGCCGCTGACTGTCCCTCCCGGTACCGCTGGAGAGAAGGAGAGTGGCAGCCGGTAAGTGAGGGAGCAGAGGAGGAGGAGAGGAGGGGAGGGGGGAGAGGATAGGATAGGATAGGAGGAGGGGAGGAGAGTAATAGTGTGCGCTGACACGGTGCCTGTGTGTGTGTAGCAAGCAGGGATGAGTTTGCTCTGTCATATCTGCGGAAGTCTGAGTTGATGCCTTTACTCTTCAGACCAGAAGGAAGAGAGAAGAGGGAGGTAGTGGAGAGGAGGAGGAGAGAGGAGAGGAGGAGGGGTGGAGAGGATTTTGTGGGCCTCAAGTAGGGCTGGACAATTAACCAAAAATGTATTGAAATCAACATTTATAACCTCTAACCAGCCTAATCTTTGTCTTCTCGTTTATTGTGGTTAATGCTTTCCCACTGTGTGCTTTCACGTGGGTTTTCACTACGTTCATGTTGCAGAGGGGGCCCCAGGGCCTCAGGGGCCCCATCCCAGCTCAAGGCCCCAGGCTTGCTTACTTTGCTGTAACACCCCTGAGTAAATGCACACCTGCGAGGACTGACTGAGGAATTAGGGCTGGAAGATATGGCCAAAAATTACATTGAGATAAAAATGTTAATATCAAAGTCAATAATTATCACGATAAATGTCACATTATTATAAGTTCAAAAACTGCTCGTTGCTATTGAAGGTTGCAGTTTTAAACTCTTTTTTTATGAGCAGAGAATGACAATCACTTGGTAAACAGTAAAATATTTTACAAATCTGAAGTAGATCCATCAAGAGTTATACATCCTCGCTATATATAGCAATTTACATTAAAACTTAAAAAGTACTTAAAAATTACATTAAACTTTATATTGCTATTGATAAAAAAATTGTATAGTGATAATTAATGATATTGTTTTATCGCCCAGCCCTAGTTAAAATAAATTATCAATAAATATCCATTGTCTCAGTTAACTTCTACAGTGCATTCAACATCTATGAGGGCCCACTCAGCGTTCAGCATCTTGCCCAAGGACACTTTGGTATAGGCTGGGATTCGAGCCACTGACCCCTCTGGTTGGTGGGCGACCACTTTACCCCTCAGCTGAAAAATGAAAATCCACTCTATCTACTCACCACATGTCGATTGGGGGATGGGTGAAGGGTTTGATTCCATAAAAAACACTTTTGGAATTTTTGGGTGTTTCAGTTTCAGCCAAATCCAATACAATTGAAGTAAATGGTGAGTATTGCTGCTTAATATAAGGTAGCAGTCATACCTATAGGCTATATCAAACGGCTGCATTCCTGCTGAGTAATGCTCAACAATTTTGTGTCGGCCAGCGGCTACAGCTCCTTGATGAGAGCTGGGATTATTAGAACAGGCAGCAACAGCAGGAGTCTCTTCCTCACTGTGCTGGAGTGATGCTGAATCTGGGTCACTGATCAGTGTGAGATGTCTTTTCTGAAAGGAGAGTCTAATTAGTGTGGAGAAGTGTTTGGAGCTCTCTGCCTGGGTATCCCAGTTAACGGCCGGAGGCGATTATAGATGTTCACCTGGTAGAATTTAAAAAGCACCATGTTTCTTTCACTGACTTAGAAATGAATGTCTTACTGTACGTCAACATTTTAAAAGATAAGATCCTTTAATCTTTTATAATTGCTGTAACGGGGAAGTTTCCCAAGTTACCTCAGCAAAGAGCACAGTCAACAATAGATCTGTAAAGTAACAATAAGTAAACATGCAATTCATAAAAATGTAAGGAAATATGAAAATGTTGTAATGTAAAATAATGAGTTTTTCAAAAAGCAGCAGAGCATGTTATAATATTTAGTTAGTTCATACTTTTTTACACCACAGGAGGAGTATGGAGGGAGTAATGAGTGAATTTTTATTTTGGGTGAACTATCCCTTCAAGAAGCCGTCATGCAGGGTAGAGGTTAATTCCTCTGTTGTTCAGCAGCACAGCTCAAGTGAGAGCAGCAGTTCCTGGCATTTCAGTTGTTTGACAGTGTTCAGTGTGTAAAGAGTGATGAAGAGCAGCTGGAGCAGGCTGCAGTCGTAACACCAAGTGTCTCTGACGCAGGTAGCCCCCCCCGAAACAGTCAGTGTGTGAATTATACTAGAGACTTGAATTTCATAATAGTTGAGTTACTTAGTAGACCTAATACTGTTTATTGGATTGAGTAGAAACTGTCATCAAACTGTCATCGCAGCAGCGTGTCAGTAAAAGACTGTATGAAAAGACGGCTGTACTTCCTTCAACTGTCCACAATTAAAGACAAAATATCTTAGATACAAACGCTGCCATCTTGAGCAGAAGACATCATTTGAACATTCAGTGTGAAAAGAACTACCTAAAATGACAGAAACCATCTTTGAGAGTAACTTATATAATGTTAAATTGCCACAGTAGCATAGGACAAAGTGTTTTTGTACATTTCTGACTCTTCACACTACTTTGACTCTGTGTGTAATAATTCAAGCCATGAATTCAGTTGAGCTTCTGCAGGAGCCAACAATTAAATCATTATTTCTTCAAAAATTGCACATTTTAGTTTAATTTCAGCATTAACATCCATCAAACACTTTTTTAAACTATGGACACTTTCAGGAGTTGTGTAATATCTTGTGAGGTCTCTGGCCATGTCCTCAGCTCAAATTCTTCCACTTCATAACACAGTGTCTTCCTCCCAGCTCTTATCTGCTGTTATGACATCTTTCTCCAATCCTCCCCATGCAGTGAAGGTCCTGCACTATCTAGAGGACACAAATCTCAGACTCTTTGTTTTTGCTGTTCTAATAAATCTTTATTTATGATGAAGAAACCCCACTCTGCTTAAACTGAAGCCTCATTCCAAAGAACTAGTTGTAACCCTAATTACTTTCTACCTATAATATGGGAATATCGTAATTCAAGTTTCAAGATGTTTATTGCCATGTACACAGCAGATAAACAGAGTTTACAGCATGTAATGAAATTCTTACTTTGTTTTTCAATCTCCCGGCATACATATATTATAAAATAAAATGTTTCCCCTCTTACCTCTCATGCTATGTGTGATGTGGTATCTTTGTAAAACATCTGTCTCTGTCTTGTTTCCACTGCAGTGTAGTAACTCATGTGGTGTGGGCCACAGACAGCGAGCTTTGCAGTGCGTTGACCACAACCAGCAGGAGGTCCACAAGATGTACTGTGTGAACCAGATCAGACCTCCACACATAGAGAGCTGCAACACCCACGCCTGTGAATTCATCTGGATCACAGGGGACTGGACTGAGGTGAGAGCCAAAGATGGCATGTGTCATCTACCTGATGTTGTGGTCCCTCTAAAAGCTTCGAGATCTTATTTGTAAGATGTAAAATTTGACGCCTCAAAGGGACCGCTCATCTAAATGGCCTTCTTTGAATCCAGTTACGTAGAAATGACTCCTACGAGGAATATAATTGGTATTTCTTGCCATGTGATTTATCTTCTCCTCCAGTGCTCGGCCAGCTGTGGCCAGGGCTACCGCCATCGTCTGATCTCCTGCAGCGAGGTGCATGTGGAGAATGACAACTATGAGTACGGCCATCAGTCTTTGTCCAACTGCCCTGGGACCCCTCCTGAGAGCTACATGCCTTGTAATCTGGACCCGTGCCTGCCGCCACAGGAGTGGAGGGTTGGAATCTGGGGAGAGGTGAGTGAAGCCATGCATCTAAATGTCGTCCAGTCATTTATCAATATTTCTTCAAAATGGGACAATTATGGTCTTTTTTTGGTTCCCCAAAGAAAATTAGAAATTAGTTTGTTTTTCGGTTGTGAAGACTTATTTTAAAGGTTCAGTGTGTAGAGTTTAGTGATATCCAGAGGTGAAGTTTCATGTTGCAGCAGAATACCCCTCATCTCACCCTCCCCTTCCCAACATGAAAGAGAACCTGTGGTGAACTTCAGTTGTCATGAAAACTCTAAAGGTTTTAGTTTGTCCAGTTTGGATGACAGTAAAAAACATGGTGGTCTCCACAGAGAGGACCCCCCTCCATGAGAAAATAAAGTTTTTAAATATAAAGGGCCCATTCTATGGTAAAGAAAACAACAATTCATACAATTCAGATGATAACACCTGTGAAAACATCACTCATTATTTTATTTTCAATTTCTGCCAAAAATCCATTTCACCTCAGTCTTACACACTGAACCTTTAAACATAATAAATGAAAATTACACAAATCCTCTTTAGTTTTAATGACTAATTAAAAGATTAAAATAGTTTTATCTTAATCTGAAATCTAGTAAATTAGCAAACAGCAGATGCAGCTGCAGGCCTTTAATCTCTAATATCTTGAAAGATAAAAACTGTGGCCAAGCTGTCATCCACAAGTTTTTTTTTTTACCTGCCATGTTGCTCCTCCCTTCCAGTGTTCAGTGAACTGTGGTAATGGAGTCATGGAGAGGACGGTGCAGTGCCTGTCAGCAGATGGTCAGGAAAGCAGTAGGTGTTCTCCAGACGCCAAGCCAGAAGCCAGAGAAGTCTGCAGAAATCCAAACTGTGAGTACTGCGAGAAAACTGCTGCTCTTTAACAAAGGTCACGGGTACTGGGGGGGTTACGTACAAGCCAAGTGAATGCATCTCAGACCTCAGTGATATATATTTTTTCTCGGCTTGATCTGTTCATCTGTGAGATTCGGCCTTTAGTGAAATATTTATGATATTGAGCAAACATTAAAGATTTACTGTCCAGTGTATTTACTTCCCTGCAGTGGGATGGGGCATCAATGAGGATTTTCATTTTCCTTTGATTCAATGCGATTTGCCACACTTTCACTTAACTGCTGAAATGTGTGTGCATGCGTGCACGTGGGTGTGTATACAGTCTGAATGCCTGCTCTGTGTTTAATGTTTGTATAATATGCTAGTCTTCTTATTTATTCTGTTTGTGTCTTCAAGGCCGTTTGCCTTCCAGCTGTCAGGAGGTCCAGAACAGGAACGGGCTTCTCCCTGACAGCGAACACTTTCTCAATTTTCAAGGAAAATCTCTCAAGGTATGATTGACTCACAAATGGACAAAGCACAGTGTGTGAAGCCATAACAGGCAGTGGTTGGATGTAACTAAGTACATTTACTCAGTTACTGTACTTAAGAACAATTTTCATGTATCTGTACTTTACTAAAATATAATTATTTTTACTTTAGAAAGTAGTTAGCACTGTCGTCTTACATTAAGAAGGTTCTCGGTTCGGATCTCAATTTGGCTGATTTGTCCCTCTGTGTGAAACTTGTATGATCTCCATGTGTCTGTGTTAGTTTTCTCCAGGTTCTCCGGCTTCCTTAGTCTAAAGACATACAGATTGTGCAAAGGTTAATTGGTGACTCTAAATTTAACGTAGGAATGTTTGTGAATGTTTTTTTTATCTCTGTATGTTGGCCCTGCGATACAATGTCAGCTGGGATTGACTCCAGCTACCAGTGACCATAAAAAGACAAGCGGTTTAAATGGATGGATGCATTTTTGAAAGTAATAGATACCGAGATGGGAATCAGTCCACTGATCCAATCAGATTGGGTCAGTGACATTAGACCCCGCCTCTTGCAGCAGCAGCATGAATAGGTTACACAACTTTTACTTTTATCACTTTAAGTATATTTAAAAGTTAACATGCTAAAAGTACCACACACAATTTAAACAGTTTGGTACTTTTACTGAAATAAGTGTTTGAGTGCTTCCTCCACCACTGAGGTTTTATTGATCAGGGTAGAGGGACACTTTATACGCAGGTCTTTGTGCCCTTTCTTTTGACTGACAGTAATAAGGGCTTCCACTCCACCAGTCGTTGTTGATGAAACACTGTTGGCTCAGCAGCTTGGTCACAAGGTGGCAAACAGATGCAGCAGGTCTCATAAAGCACAGTCAGTGGAAAGTTTTTCACTGCCATTAAAGTGACTTTAAAGTCCAGGTCTGTGTTTTTTTGGGAAGCTTGTAATTGCCATCTTCTATTCCACTGCTTTTCCTGACATCCTGACTCACAAACAGTGTTGCTCTTGTAATATACACTTCCTCTACTTTTTTTTCTCACCTCACCTCCATCCCTTCCCTTCATCCCTGCTTCCACCCCTCTTTCCACTGTCCACCTGTTTCTTCTCCTCAGGTATACTGTGCAGGAATGCAGACAGAGACTCCTCAGGAGTACATCACCTTGATGATGGGAGAAGGGGAGAATTTTTCCGAGATCTTTGGCTTCAGGTAAACTATAAAGCTTACAGGATAACAATGAGAGCAGCCTGTTTCATCCCAGAAATCCAAGTAACTCTTGACTAAGGAGTTTCCCTCCTATCTTTATTCCCAGAGCAACGTCTTTCATTTTGAGAGCATTATTTCTTAAAACCCTCTCTCTCTGGAATAACTTCTGCTCACGTGCAGATCTGCTCTGCCCCTGCCTTGTTTGTCTGCACTCAGATAAACTGCTGCTGCACAAATGTCCTGCTCATCAGTTTGATTCCTCATCCTCACGCTCAGGCTGCTTCTTCTCCGTGCTCAGATCTCTGCTCTAGGTTTTTTGTAAACCGACCCTGTCGAAATTTCCCAACCAATAGAATACCAGGTATGCTGCTGACCAATGACATCTTCACCACCTCATTGTGGGCCCATCCACTTTACAAAAGGCCAGTTACTGTTGAAAACTGGTTCAGTGGATTGTTCACCGAAGTGGATCACTCAGTCGAGAGCCTCAAATAAGTGTGATATCTTATTTTCTACAAGTTTAATACGTAAAGTCATATTTGCAGCTTAGTAATACATCTTCAATGAACCAGCTTATCTAAGGGCATTTACCACTATCTCTATCTGTTCTACCAGTGCATCAATCAGGATTAAATCATGAGTGAACATTGAGGTTTGAGACCACGTGAGGCATGTTGTTTGGAAATCGCTCCATGATGTGACATTTAAGTGGTTTCTGTAGGAAACAGGCAATAAATACAAATACATTTTATGTTAGGGTTAGTCTTAAGTCAAAAATTGCGTAACATAGTTTCTTCTACTATCATGCATAATTCAGAGAAGCTAAATATGTATCTAATCTCCAGTATTTTTGCTGTGGCATTTACTTAGACTGGCTCAAACTATAACATGTAGCACAACAATGATTTGAGGTTTTTATTCAGTAACAGAACTTTCTGTACATATGTAGATATTCATGGTCTCACTGGTTTGTGAAGTTGCTTTTGTTTCCTGCTGTTTTAATGTGTCAGCTCGTTACCCTATGGAGGCATTGGGCTGCAGTTATTAGCGCTGCCGCCTCTCAGCAAAAGGGTTATTGGCTTTAAATCCCGGTTCGGCCTGCGTCTGTGTGGAGTTTTAATTTTCTGCCCATGTCTGCTTGGGTTTTTGTCAAAAATACCCACAGTCCAAAGACATGCAGTTCAGAGGTAAATTGACCAAAGGTGTGAATGGTAGTTTGTCTTTGTATGTTGGCCTTTTGAATGGCTAACGTCATGTCCTGTGTGGACCCCACCTCTCTCCCAATGTCAGCTGGGATTTGCTCCCGCCTCCCATAGGACCCTCAGTGTATCAGTGGTATACATAGTGAATGGATGGATAACGAACTTACCCACACTAAAATGTGGATATCGTGAAAACATGCAAGGACCTTTTTTTGTTTGTTGCCTTGCCACAGTGTTCACATATATGAACACATGAAAGCCAAGCCTATAATCGTGGATGTATTTCCATGGTGAAAACATGACAAAGCCAGTTCAATTCAGACAAAGTTGTAGTACCATTAAAATACAATATTCATTTTAGGTCCTTGACTCGGGCACATTGGTGAGTATCACACCTAAGGAACGCTTTATTAAGTAAAGTGCATACGCCCACAATGACCCAGTGAGGATTTGATTGGTCAGCATGTTCTATTGGTTTAGGATGAAACATTTTGACAGGGTCATTTCACAATAATGTCAGATGAGAAATCTGAGAGCAGAAGTTTTGCGAGGGCACAGAAGCAGCCTGAGTGCGAGAGGACGGAATCAAACCGAATCACAGGACATTTGTGCTGCAGCAGAGTATCTGAGCAGAGCAAATCTGCACGCGAGCACGAACTATTGGAGAGAGGGCAGGGATTTGAGGAAACGCATTATATAATCTCAACGTGAAATGAAGAAATAATGCTCTCAAAATGAAAGACCAGGCTTTTGGCAGTGCTTTGTCTGTAAATGATGGAATTCCATGGAAGTGTAAAGTTGATATATGTCTGTGTGCTTGTGTGTGTGTGTGTGCATGTGTGTGTGTTTATGTTTATATATGTGTGTGTATTTCCCAGGCTGAATGACCCCACCCAGTGCCCAGCAAATGGCTCCAGAAGAGCAGACTGCGACTGTCGGAGAGATTACACCACTGCTGGCATCACCACCTTCTCCAAAGTTCGCCTGGACATCAGCAAGATGAACATCATCAGTAAGTGGCCCTTACACACAAACATAGCAGATCACACACACACACACATGCCAGAGCATCCTGTGCCAAGGTTAACTTTACATTACTCACCAATAAGAGCTTCCTCTGCCATTTAATTATGTCCGTGCTCATGAGGGTTAATGGGATCAAGATGTCTTCGAGGTTTATTTAAGCCGCGCACAATTACAAGGCTTGAGGGGATTAGGCCAAACTGCTCTAAGTAGATGGAATTATACTGATATTACCATCAAACTGACCCTAAAACCGAGGCCAGATTTATCGTGCCTCGGTCATTATTGCAGGTGTAAGCTATCATCGTGCGAGTTCACTTGAGGTCTTAGAGCAACAAATTTCAAGATAATAATTCTCGAGAATGTTTTGAATTGATAGTTTGTCGTTTTGTCTTATTAGCTACAGACTGGCAGTTTGCGTTCACCCGTGAAGGCAAGAGAGTTCCATTCGCCACAGCTGGAGACTGCTACAGCGCCGCCCGTTGTCCACAGGTGGGCATGACCACAGCTGTTAGTTATGTGCTGAGGGGGAAACTTTTCATAGCAGGAAAGTAATAACACTGAGGATGGCTCAGTTCTTCTAAGAGTCTTATAAGATATTTAATAGTGCAAAAATACACAATGTCAGAGTATAAAACTGATTTGGTACTTACATGTTGTCCAGATGTTATTGATGTTATTATAAATGTGCTTTTCCTTTTATGGTTTGAAATTAAAAATGTCTGTCTTTATAACAGGCATCCTTTTAGTGCCAGTCAGCATCTCTGTGTCTCTGTGTCACACTGATTTACTACACAACACCTCACTTTACATGACACTAAATTTACTTTAATTAATATGAAAAATACATGTATGTGTTATTCTTTACCATCCAACACGTCCAACACATGATCCATGTATAATTGACAATTCCACCAAGCTAATAAAGTTAAATGAAATTGAAAATACAATCATAATTTTATTCCAAATATTTCAAATATATTCACTTTTATTTTACAAGTGCCCTTAACTAAACTGTTAAGAAGAAAATATGAGGTCATGCCTTTATTTTATTTTATCATCTTACACATTTTATCTATTTTATTTAATCATTTTATTCCTTCAACTGTTTTGTCAAACTTTTCATACCCTTGTTGACTTATTTCTATGTGAACCCTGGTTCATATTCCTTCTGCGTCTCTCTCCCTCCTCTGTCAGGGTCAGTTCAGGATCAACCTCTCAGGAACAGGTCTGAAGGTGGCTGACGACACCTCGTGGATCTCACAGGGCAACTACGCAGTGGCTGATGTGCGGAAATCACAGGTACTGGCAGCTGACACAGCAAACAGCAAACTTTGACTCTATGGTTTGGAAAGTTTACATTTTTATAAAAACATGTAAGAATAATTATATAATTGCTGACCCATGCTGATATTTGGTGAGGCAACATCTTTATTTTATAATCATTCACTTATCTTCAGCACCCCTTTTTACTGCTCTCTTCCATATTCCCTGTTTATGCCTCATGTGCTCTGAGAACTCATCCCTTCCTCTGCATGACCTCCTGGTTTCAGGGCTCCTGGTGGGCATAGTCCCAAGCCAGTTCTGTATTCCCAGCATCTCCTCATAAACTCCCTGAGAGGGGACCTTTATTGGGCAGCTGCTCACTCAAGTGCCCACCCTCCACCCTCTGCTTTTGAAATGGAGATCAAGCCGTAGAGGGCTTTTTGGCGAGACGCAAAACAGGAGACAGAGAAGATGCCAAAAAGTGTTCACAGCCTGAGATCCACAGCCAGTCGGCCCCTCTCCATGCTCTCGGGGCTGTTTAAATAGAGCCAGGTTGTGACAGTGGGACGGGGAGAGCACTACAGAGGAGATCAGAAGAACCACTCGCTGTGAGCTGTCGCTTTCATGTCGTGGGATAGTGGTTTTTGGAGTCCTCATCTCATTTCCTTTATGGCTCCTAGAGGCTTGTATGGAGCTGCCCATAATGCTGCATGCAAAGTCTATTAATTAATTAGCTTGTGTTTCCCTGCTTGTTGCTGAGAGTGATTACCCAATTCACACCTGATGACGAGCTGCGTGCTGGGCCTCCGTTTTTCTTTGTGAGCCTCTCAAAAAAGTAAAAGCTAATTTCAGTGGAGCCAAAACAATCCTGTCTTGATACAATTTAACGAGACCACATGTAACATAACCCAGTGCTGTCTCTGACAATGCTCTTTTCTTCATAGAACTGACCTGTTTCTCTGACAGATCAGAGATTCGTGGATTGGAAAATATTCTTAATCACAGGACAAAAACAAAACAACAAAAAGCAAGAAAGCTGTGATCCTGTAAAATCTGTGTCACTATCAACCTATTATAAAACCTACGAATATTCACTTAAGCCACAACAACAAAATTTCATACAAGTGTTGTAATTGCTCTTGTGCCCACAGGATGGTAGCAGAGTGTCAGGAATGTGTGGAGGCTACTGTGGCAAATGTACACCGTCCTCTGGCTCCAGTCTGCCTGTAACCATGGAAACCACCTGATGCTATCAAACAGGTTTGAGATTTATTTTAAATATACATTTAACAATACATCACTTTTAATTAAAACAAAAGTACAATCTATAATTCAAGTAAAGATAAGAGTTTAGAACCACAGTCAAAATTCAGATCACAGAACTAGAAGCTGCTGTAACTTCAAGAGCAACAAAGAATTTTCAGGTTTTCACAACCCAATAATTACATGTGTGCTAATATTTATGTTTTAATGCTTTTAATGTTCGTACATGATAGGCTTTCACTTTCATTTCAGTGATTGCACGTGTGTGTGTTTCAGATTATATAAAGGGCACTAAGTGGAGTTCATACCCCCACCGAGGCCCCGCCCCCTTATGAAACCACGTTTAAATTCACTTGATCCAGATTTTTTTGAGATCTGCAACAAATTGCAAACACTCATAAATATCAGTCCCCTAAAAATGTTTTTTTCATCGAGGTCCATGATCCACAATTATTCTCTGAGAAATCACTGAAAATATCGATGTACGATCTCACATTGTGAAAGTGAAGTGAACATTTTAAGAAAAGAAATCCTCTTCTAGATCTGCACTAAAATTTAATGGTGACCCCTTTTTGGTCTTACCCCTCCACAAAATCTCATGGCAATCCCTTGAGCAGTTTTTGAATAATCCCATAAAAAACAGATACAAACATAAGCTCCTTTGTGCAGGTAAAAAAAAAAACCCTCTGCATTTGTGTTCAGTGAATCCACATCCATCCTGTGTCCTGTATCCATGTTACCGTGCAGGATCATGTGCAGTAACTGAGTGCTAACGTTGTTTGCATCGTGATTTTTTTCCAGCATCTATTCTCCTTCATCTCAGCAGCAGTTCTCTCCAGGTGCTCGTCGTGCCCACAAGTCCCTCCTCTTTGTTGCTGCAGTCCACTCACAGCTCAAACCCGTCCTTCACACGACCTCTGTTACACCCACGTGTGTATAATGTAAATGAATCAGGTGTAAGTACTGTACATAGCAGGATCAAAATGTCTTATTTATTGTACCCTCCATTTATTTTTGTATCATAATGTGTAATTTAACTGTTAGTGAACACAGCACACTTTCCATTCAGAAGATTTTGTTTTTATGTGCCACAATGTGCTTTCCATGTTGGATATGGATTTTGCAGTACTGTCGTTACTCCATAAGTTGTGTTTGATCCAGTGATGTCATCATTATAATGGTCTGCAGTCCTGTTGTTTATATGCAGCGAGGTGTCTCTATCAGTGGGTCTTTTTTCTATCATCCTCTGGAGCACAGGTGCTAGAATCCTGTACAACACTGTGTTGTATAAGCAGCTCTTTAAAAAGACGTTTTGGTTCAGTGAAGTGTTTTTTTATTTTTTTTATTTGTCTCATTTAGTCAGATGTTTCCAGTCCACATGTCCGTCCAGTCTCAACTGTGCTTTTATTAGCTGTCATTCCAGCTACGTTGCTCTTACCTCAGTAAACCTCTGCGGTGTTTGTAGCCGATCACATTCAAACCCACTGGATGTGCCCGTCTGCATCTGTCCAGCTGTTTACTGCAGCTGCAGTCGTGTCAGATCGGAGAGAGGAGAGCTCAGGCGGGTGAACTGTAGTACATTCTCATTAACTGGGCTTTTTTAGGGTCAGCTGTGATAATAACACTGCAGGAAAAAGCCAGGTGTGACTTCCATGACTCCAACACCTGCTACACTCGTATTGTTAATGTGACTTCAAGTCGTTTTACAGAATGTGGAAAAAACCCTCTGGGAATAAAGTCACTTCATTTTCTTTTAAGTTAGTAGAAAATATTTGGTGAAATAGTTTGATACACGAACAGTATTTCCTCTGAAATGTGACCCATACGTCAGAACAAGTGTGTGTTCAGGTGTTTGAAGACAAATTCAGTGTCGTAGGAAACAACAGACATAAACATGTGTGCACGTGTGTGTTTGTACCTTTTCCAGTACAAACACTGACCTTGTCAGGACCAGTAGACCTCATGGGGAACAAAGCCTGGTCCTAATGAGACACATGTTCTTTTCTGAGCTCCTGGTTAAGGTTAGAGGTAAGATGTGAATTGGTCATGGTTAAGGCTAGGGATAAGGTTTTGGATATAGGCTGTCCACAATGAATGGAAGTCAATGCAAAGTCCTAATAATGACAAAAATGTGTTCTTGTGAGTGCACATGCAATGAGTTGTGGGGTTAGGATTTACAACTCACATCTAGAGGAGTTTGCCGATACACAAACACACTGAAACGTAACAAACACACACACACACATTACTAAAAGAACCGTGGAGATTACGCTGCCAGACTTCAGAGAGCCCCTGAATTCCTCTGCGTGTATCTCAGGTGGTGTGCAGTGACCAGGGAGAGCCATTAGCCTCGTAGCTTTTTTACAGAGCGGGCAGGTTATCTTATCTGGAGCAGCTTCAAAGAATTCGGAAAAGAGGGACTTCACCTCGGGCCGATTCGAATTCCAGTATAGATACTCCGCAGATATAATGCAGTGGTCCAACCCTGGAGACACCTCTCACACTGCTGAGCTCACAGGCCCCCGCAGCATCATGTGTGTCCAGATGCTGCCTGTAGACCATCGCTCATGTACCTCACATTCTCCTCTCTCTGTTTTAAATCTGTCCAAACTGTACATATGAACATGCTCCTGTCATGAACGTGTCGTTGTGAAAACATCAGGGTACTTTTTATTTTGTGTATGTATGTTCTTGCATCTCTTAACCAGTTTAATGCAGTTTCTTGATTTTATTTTTAAAGACACAAGATGAAATTATTCTTTACATTCTGTAAGTGTTAGTGATGTGTATAGTAGCAGGTAGTAGTAGTGGTAATAGTAGGTATGTAGAGCACATTCTACATGTGTAGGTGATGAAGAAGCCATATTTGCTTTTATAAGCCGTCTGTTATGGTGCTATTTCAGTGCCATGTGTGATAATGTGCAAACTTCAGCCAAAGGGAATTTCACACAGTTTTAATCTGCAACTTTACACTTTTTGTCTAACAGCGTTGGGGAAGTTCTCTTCAAAAATGCACTTCACTCATTGTGAATGTCAGTTCAGTCCACAGAGTTCTCAGGTGTCGCACAGTCAATGAAGGGATTACTATGATATTTATGTGTATTTATCTCATGTTACATATTTGCCACGTGTTTATCAGGTCACTGAACATGTATTATTGAAGTGTCTTTGCATACGCTTTTATTTTATATGCAGTATTTATTTAACTTTTTTTCTATGTGAATGTACATAAATGATTATGAATTACCATGCAGTATTATTGCCATAAAATTAACTGTCTGGCAACATACCAACTATTTTGTGAATACATTTATTTATATGAACTGTATGTCTCATCTGCATATACTGTATCAGCAGGTTTGGGTGCTGCCATATAAAAAGCACGATTTATGATCTGGTGAAGTCGATAATAATAAGAAAATAAAACGCCTGCACTGGTCGTCTGTCTGCTTCTCACACGATTATATAATATTAAGTCCAGTTTGTCCTTGACGTATCATTCAGCAGTAATACTGGCTGTAAAAATCATGGATTTACGATATAATATCCTCGTTCTTATTTAGTGCTTCCACCTAATTATGATTGACCTCCTTCCACCATCATAACAGTCTGGTTTGTGACCTGACAGATGTTTTTTATGGCGCTAATCTCTCGTCTCGTAATAATGAATTATTAGACCATCTACATGTTGTCAGCACTGCTCGTCCAATAAAGCGCACAGCTGAGCAGATCTCCAGAGGGAAAGATTCTTTTTTTGTTGCCAGATCGGTGAAGTTTTCCCAAAATTGTGGAAATTGAAGTCGCTGTGACTAACAGGTCGACATGATCTGTGTTTTATATTGTTTCTTGTGATCTCAGGTGAACCCGCACGGTAGCAGGTGCCAACGAGTCATTTAGGGACTGACTGAAATGTCAGTCAACACCATGAGTAAGGTGCTGTTTATAAAGTGGCTGTTATTCAGGGGAAGAGTGTGAGACGGAGGGAGGGAAGGAGGGTTGAGACAGGAGCCTTCAACAGTAATTCACAAACATCCAGGGAGTCAGTTTGGAAAAGATATCTCTCAATTCCCTTTTCATTCCTTCACTCGTAAAAACTGTGAGATATCTCTTCTGTTGACAAATGGCAGCAGGTTTTTATAACACCAGATATTTCTGAAAATAACAAAGACAGAGCTACAGGAAATCTTTTTCCTGAGCAGATGCAGCCAGAATTTCCCCTCGAGCTCGGCCTTACTGCTAATGAATAGTTGCATTGCTATTGAAAGTTGTCAAGAATTCCTCCAACCATGCTGAATATAGATTTAAAATGACATAAATGAGTTGCATGTAGGTGTGAGACTGGATCCTCTCGCTCCAGGTTTTTTCAGCAGCTCATCTGATCAGAGCAGAAAGTTCACTCAGGCTGATTCTGCATTTAAACTCCACTGAACCACAGTTTGCAGGAAGCGCTGCAGTGTTTTCTAGTCTTTTATTACAAGAGATTATAACGTCACATTAAAAGCATATATTCAACTCAAGATCTTGATATGATGACATGAATTTGCATGCATTTGACTTATGTTTATGAGATTTATGTATATACTATAATAAATGGCAATCATTTATTATAGCTAATGTTATCATATATATTATGTGCACATAATATTGTACACAATGAAAGGGTACATAGTCATAATCTTACAAACCAGTGAAGTGTGAATTTTATTACTGATGACGACCCTTTTACAGATTCTCAGTAGCATTTGTCTCGATTGCTTATTGCTCGTGTCCAGATTGAATTTTATATCTCATGTTTTCGGTCTGAATTTGATCAGACCAGGACTCATTTTGAGTTAATTTCTTCAATGAGAAATGAGCTATTTGGATATAATCGTTGAACTGCGGTAAATGTTAAAATATGATTTAAGAAAATATATTTAAATTTCCCAACTTGAAAATATCAAAGAGGGGAAATGAGATCACCGTGGTTTTCAATGGAAAATACTGAATTGCTTTAAAACATTCTGTAGACTTTTAATTTCAACATTACAGAGACACAGCCTTCACCTTATCTCATAATTATGATTTCATTAGACATGCACGGAGGTTGTATTTAATCATCCTGTTGAATAATGTAATGTTTTTCTTGTATATTTGAGATCTGGATCTGGTTATGATATAGCATATCAGAATTATGAGGTGTGGAAACCACAATTACAAGATAAGGTCTTCCTTTTTGTTTCTTTGAAGAATACCGGCAGTTCAGTTGCTAATAAGATTCAAATCTTTATGGCCTTTATCTGCTTCCATACACAAGCATGTATTTAAAACTTGAAATAAAAACATATACATGTGACCATAAGTCATACAACAGACGTGTGACCCAACAGTTGCTGTTCTGGCTGACTGAAGAACAGGGAGGGGCTCACGTGCTTTAAATGTCTTTGGGCTTGTGCAGGAATAGGATCGATATCTGACACCACTCCTTCAAATAATAGCTCTGCAAACAAGAAAAAATTACAAAATACATTTACTGATGAAAACTACAAACAAACCCATGGATATATTCATTCAAAACCAGTGCAGTCTACTTCTCTGTGTGTCTGTATCCTGGTGAGTACAGTGAGTACAGTACTGGGACTTTCCCACAAAGATTAGAGCAGTGATCTAAGCGGCTGTGATCCTCGGGTCGTACTAGATGTTCTCGACACTTCTGATCGGCACGTCCACCACCTCACAAGCAGCTGCTCATTGGACCGAGAGTCGGCCCTGACAGACTTCTGCGAGTCAAAAGTTCACCGCCAAGGTATTTGAGATAATGCGAAGGAAATAGCATAGGATTAGAAGTCCTGGATCAGGCTTTTATGAGGACATGATTACATCAACACTCACAGCTGATATTTCTCCTGGATTCTAACTCTATTTTTGCATTGCCTCTGGAAACAACACACGAGCTGTGTTTGATTCTGCCAACAGTGTTGAAAAATTTAACTTCAGACTTAATGAAAGCAGTTTAAAGTCTCGTGTCCCCAGAGTCAGCTCGCCTCACCATCATTACCATCATCATTCCTCAAGGTAATCTAGGCTGACTTTGAACTGGGGCTCAGCAGTGAGTGGAAGCCTCTGGCTCGCGTGCACACACACTTAGTTTGGATGCCCAGATACACTTTGTGTTTATCTGAGTGCAGTAAGTGAGTGAATGGATTTTGTGTGTCTGTACAGAACACTGATGTCAAAGAGGAATTTATTTCTTTTCTTTAATTCCCTGGTGTAACTTGAGTGTCTCGAGGTTTTGAATTTCCCTCCGGGGATTAATAAAGTATTTCTGATTCTGATTCTGATTAAAGTCTCTTTTTTTAGACGAGGCACAGACCTTCCCACAGCCTCCATGTTTCCTCTTCTCATTCACTGAAGTGCACAATCATTTATTTTTCACACATCTTCGCCTGCTCTGTCTTTCTCTCTCTGTTTTATCTGTGTCTGTTTTTTGTTTGTTTGTTTCCTGCTGAATTGGGACTTATTACCTCCATTTTTTAGTTTGTTCTGTTTATGAGCAAAACAACCACGACCTCTGTTATGAAAAATCTACTGATCAATGGTCAACCCATCAGTGAAGAAAGCGTTCAGGAGCCTTTTGACATCTTATGCTGAAATATTTATTGAAGCTTGACCAAGGAGAAAATCAGAATTCATCCACTAAACATCTGTACATGAGGCTCTCTCAGATTCTGAAGTCTGCTTTCCCGCAGTCACACTTTAAACCCCAACAGATCATTTAATCTATGGGTGTGCTTGCGCCAAATGTGGTAAACAATCAAATGTATTTTCTAGTTATGGAGACAGTAGTGCCTGCTTATGCAGTCTCATATCTGTGATGTCTAGAGAGTGAAGGCTTTGACCTTTGCCAAGCTCTTGCTCTTGCACTTCTCAACAACAGCCTGTTGCACTCTGCCCCAGAGAGG